TTTTCATCATCTTCCTCATCAGTCTCTATTAGTATGACTTGACTGTCATTTTCAACGAGACGTTTTGATCTTCTGGATAGAATGGAATTCTCATCGTCTCCATCAATGACAATCACTAAATTTTTTACCAAAAAATTAATATTGGTCACACTTTTTATTATGAATTCTTTGGTTGTCAAGCTCATTCTTCATACCTTCGTCTACCAACTTTCTTTTTACTCCAGCTAATTTGGTACCAGTTTCCGGACTTTCTCCTTCACTACTCTCGTCAAATCCGTTTCCATTACTATTATTACTCCCACTTGCCTCTCCTTGATCCCATTGATAATCTTGAGACTGCGAAGTCTTTCCATCTTCTATAACTGTAATTCTGGTTATTGTGGTGAATAAAGGTGGCTTCCTATACATGTGAAGGAGGTTGAGATCTGAGCGGGAGAGAGGGGTGCGTAATAGAAATAGAGATAGAAGTAATAATGGAATAAAGAAGGGTAGATTTTCATGGCCCTCTAAAAATCCAGCATTATTCTCAAGGATGAAGCCTTGTAAGGAAAGATCTTATGAGTATGTCAGATCCAAACAATATATTTCTGACTGTTTTGAGGCTTGTGAAGGGAGCCAAGGTGTGTTTTGGAATAATTATTTTTTTAGACTATTCCTTTTTTAGTTGCATATTGATGCGTGTGTTGTAATTTGGGAAAAAAAAACAACGCGGGGACCTTATCTGCTGACTAGAGCTTTTGCAATTTCGTAGTCAAGAAAGTTTACATGAATGAATGGCAGAAATATCTTGTTACTGGGGAAGGGAAAGCAAAACCTGTAAGATATTCTTATTTGAATGTTTTCTTTTTTTTCTACTTACAACGAATGTAGCTGCATCTAATCAATTTCCAAATATCGAGGTATTACTTTCGAACGTTGCTATTCATATGACTGGGAGACTAATGATGATTCTATCTTATTACGCCACTTTCTCTATATTTTATGCTCCATCGGTTCAAAGCTGTCATCTCTGGCCTCCTCTTCATCAGCAGATCAGTTGGGAGATAATGGTTATAAGTGGCCAAAGACACGCAAACCATTAGAATCGATTAGCATCAGCGATGATGAAGGAGATGATAATGGTAGTCACACGATTACCAACTTTAATTCAGGCAACAGCTCTGATGGAGATGCCGAAAAAGATGATGCCGATATGGCTACAGATGGGGATAAATCAACAGACAATTCTGCACGACGGTTTGAAGCTTTCGTAATTATTGACCACCCTGGTGAAGTACCTATTGTCACCACTAGACCCAGATTGCAGAGAAAAAATCTGACCAGGGGAAGTTAATATTGAAATGGACAAAAAGATTTAAAGCATGACAAGAAAAGAGTTTTGACGGTTGTGTCGGACGGATAGGAGAGACAAGGAAAACCGAGGGACCACATGTTTATCATCTGTAAATACTAATGTTAATCTAATGAATTAAAGCTTAGTTTTTGTTATAAAAATAGATGATTGAATTATTTATATAATAATGGGTCATGTCAATTCTGATCTTGAACGAGATTTTACATCATATTACTGCCAATATCAATTCGATCAGGTTAAACTATATTGAAGGTATAAAAGAAAAACCAATCATCAATGATTAGGTTGATTCTTGACCAGAGTTGTATTATCAACTCGGTATGAGTCCAATTATATTCATTCATTCACGTATGCCAATATCCTCATATATTAGGAATTTGTATTTATAAGGTGCTTGATAAATGAAAATAGTGAAGGCATTGTGATACAATAAATTGGACAGTAAAATGAACTTTATTCTAAATACTGTATTTTAAGGTTTTTTTAAAGTTATACAAGTTCTGTTTGGGAGCGGAGACAAATCTGTCTCTGTCCCTTAAAAAGACTCGACATGATGATGAATTATTATTTCAAGTCGACTTTAGCGAGAGAAGAACGAACATGATTACAATGATGAAGCATATTACGAAGATGGCCATGCGGAGGGTTACCCCATGTATATGTAAATCTTGAACAGTTTTGACACGTAGTAACTTTAAATTTTCCACGGCCACTCTTGCAATCAGGCAAGCGACTAGTCAGTAATGTATGAAAGTGACATCGCGGAGATTATTATTATTCGAAAAGTCGATAAGCAAAAAAATCTGTTGTTACTGTATGTATATCTTGTACTATTAATGAAATAGCATTTGTCCATTTATAACTTGTTATATCACTTGCTCGAACAATTCTCATAATGCTATCCTAAAATGCCCTATAAGAAACAATTCAAATTGCTGCTTCTTTTTATTACACTTCGTAAAACGCTTGTTGTGCCAAACCGATATCATAACGTGATAGAACGCGGACGGCACTAAACAGTCTATTATTGTGACCTAGCGCCATTACTTCTTTTGTGTTCACTGCAACAATGAAAGTTGTAATGACCTTTATGCTAACAGATGTTATTCAAGTTTCCACTGCAAGATGAATGAATTGACGTATCATCCACGCACAACGGGCATTATGTATGACCGTTAATATTTAGCCTTACGAAAGATATCTGTCAGCAACCATATCGAACAGACATCCCAAAATAAATTTACGGTACATCAGGCAGTTTTGCTCTCAACATGGAATCAGGAAGATCTCCGCATGCATTGCTTCCAATAGTATCCGTTTATTGTCACAAAGAAAAGTGTCGCTCGAAAATTCTATGTCATCTCCAACGCGTTTTAAACCGTTCTAGGATTTGCAATAACAGCTGGTTGATTACGGTTTGCATTGCAAGTATCATGTTCGTTCAAATCTGAAGCGGTTATGGATTCTACGTTGGGTCTGGTTTAATAACATCATCACATTATATTATTATGAGTTGCACCAGACATAAGTTACGAGTATTACCTAAGCTGGTACACGATACTATGTCTCATCATTATTAACAATCTTATTCTCTATTTCTTCGCTCTTATCAATCCATTCTTGAAAAGCTTCTAGTATTCTCTTCCTCGGTTATTTCGCCCGCTTGATGTACTCGCGTTTTCAAAATCTATTTCAAGGAAGTTCCCACACAGAAAAATTTTACTGGTAAAAATGACCGAGTCAAGTCGATTTCATGATTTAAAGAAAATTGAGATACAAAAGTTGAGGCAAAGTTCTGCCGCTCTTGCGAAATACTCTGGTTAAACTACCCTGTGTTCGATCAATTTGATAAACACGTGAGCCGTGAGACAGTTTAATTTATCGTTTGTCCAAAAACACACAAGATGTCTTGTTGCATGTCGTTATTGACTTATTATTGTGCAATATAATAATAGTTGATTAATATGGTTAGAATTAACAGTTGGTGTTATAATAACAGCATATTTTAGTTCTTGATTATCGCATAAAGATTACAACATGGAATTATCGGTGGTTTCTGTGGCGTTATGTTCACCTGTTACAGCCTGTACCGTATATGGTTTTGGACGAAATATATTGTGGGCGACCTGTTTGTTTATCCACTTATCTTGGGAACAATTGTCGAGTAGGTAATCTTTCATTTGCAAGATGTGTTATTTTGGCTAACTCGGTGTGTTTTCATTTAAGAAAACATCACATGTAAGCCTTTTATCAAAATTCCCAAATCGGCATTATGTAATACTCAGCCCAATGCAAAGAGAATTCTCTGTAGTCGACTTGATTTGGGCAAGCGTGCACAAGTTTTTGTTATCAAAAAATGTATGGAAAGTCTTTTTTTATGCGACCAGATGGGACTATGAGAGACATTTTGGGATTCATGTGTGGTCAGATTCCATTGTTGGTAGAGAGATTTTGCGGGCGTAAAACACAAAGCCAAGTAGAGTAAAAATGATTACTGTAACGAAATATCAAAGGTTACATACATTTCACCAAACGGTGGTTTTTTTTATCATCGGGGGACATCCCTGCGTCTTGAAGTTGCAGAAACGCTCAAATTAGGCAGTTGCATGCAAACCTTCATCGCTTGATCAGGAAAAAAGTGTGCTTGGCCCGATTTCAACGATAAATGATGAGATGATGATTGATGCTCAAGAAATCAGTAGTAGACATAAAAAGTCAAGATGAAAAATCATCCTACTCACGAGAAACAGTTTACAATGGTTTCATGCCCACAAAAGAGTGTTTGGGTTTTTCGGCTACCCGGAAAAAAAAAAGAAAGGATAAAAGTTCTGCATATTAATATTCAGTGAGGGGGGTGGGGTGGTTCCATGTCACACACGATTTTGATGCTGTCACTGTTCGTTATTACCATTACTATTTATCGCAACTGTTAGAGTATTAACATTAATGTTCATAGCATTCATTGTCTTTGTTGCGCATTCCATTTAATTCCATGTTATTCAAGATTATCCCGTTTAAAACCGACCACTCTTATTCATTCGGTAACGTATGTTATTACAAAAATAGTAACGCCAAGATTCCTAATATATCTAACCTTGTCCCTTTCGATTGTCAAGTAGCGTCAGGTTGCACAATTTGATTTCTTGGGAGTAAACAATTAGGTTATCCCTGAAGTGAGCGTCACGATGATCGGGAAATGCCCGAGGGGATTGATAGTCAGACTAGTAATGGGGGGAGTGGGGAGGGGTTTAGTAACTAATAATAGTTTAAGGATGGGAAGAATTTACGTATCGTATGATATAATTTTTATTAAGATTCAACGTTTTCGTTTTATGAACTTGTTTCTATTACTATTGACAATCACCTTTTTTGTATGCTTATTAATAGATTTGATCACAGATAAGTTTGCTTATATCTGTATCACAAATGCACACTCATATGCAATTCTCGCATGCATTTCAGGCAAAATTATCAATAAATTATCAAAAATAGCAGAAACACTTGCATCATGCATTAATGGTACATTGAATGCTCTCACAGTACGCCACCAAGTATTATATAAGTGGACGTGCTACTGCGATTAATTTATGAAATGTCATTTTATTTCTAGGTTAACCAACCGAAAAGATAGTTTGGGCTGGTCGACCGTCAGTCTTGGGTTAAAGTTTCTGGAAAAAAAGGGGGGAAAGAAGGGATGAGTTAAGTAGAGTTTGATTGGGATTGGGTAAAGTTGAAACTTAATTTTATTTTTACGAAATTTACTATATAATTCAGTTTTCTTCGTTACTTAGCAGAGAAAAGGGTTTGCCTTTTCCTGTTTTCCAACACTGGAATTATCTTCTTTATCAGTCACAAACTCCGAGTTACTCAGGGGCTGATTTATATAGCACACAGATGAAATTTATTTCGATCACTAATGACTAATTTGCATCAATTATAAACAAACAAATGGATAAATATAAATAATGAATATATGTATAAATAAGTAAGTGTAATAATGAGACCAGATGTTTACTATTATTGATTATTTGGTTGTTATTGTTATTGTTATGTTATTATTATTGTTGTGTTGTTGTGTTGTTGTGCTGTGCTGTGCTGTGTTGTGTTGTGTTGTGCTGTGTTGTTATGTTGTTATGTGCTATGTCGTTGTGTTGTGGTGTGGTGTGGTGGTATTGTGTGCTTGTATGTGTTGTGGTGTTGTGGTGTTGCGGTGTTGCGGTGTTGTGGTGTTGTGTGCTTGTATGTGTTGTGCTATCTCCGCTGTCTTGTTATAATACAATTTACCCGTTATTATTATCACCACATTTATTATTATACCGGATATTTCTATAACTATCAATTTATAATAAATAAACCAATTAAAATGAGTAATTTATTGAGTTTACACTTTCCTAATATATTATCGGTATAACTCCAAAGTACTGCATGTCCGATATGCATTAACTATCACCCCATTCATCCCACTCCAACTCCCATTCGCCCAATCTTCCCATATTAGTCAATTGCCATCATACGATCAACCCATCCTAATACCTCTCCATCAGCCTCGCTATTTTGCGGACGGGCTGGATTTATGCCCCAATCTTTCTGTCCCACACCAACTAATTCCATAAAATTCGCTCTTCTCATCTGCAAACAATCTCCATCGGCGCCACCCCAGACGATCCAGCTTTAGGAGATGTCGGCGTGCTTGAAAACTGATGTACTGGTGTAGTCGACGGTGACGGTCTTGTGGGTGTTGGTACAGCTGACGATGTGCATGAAGCGCGTAATGGAGAAAAATTAGAGGCGGCAGTCGTAATGCGAGCAGCGGAAGAGGCTGCGAGGGCAGCATTGGAAATAGTTTCAATGTTTGGTAAATACAGTCCTGATGACAGTTCTCGTGTCCG